TTGCACTGAGCTAACATTTTCGCAGCGAAGTTATCGCAGTCAGTGCACGTCTCTACGACTTGACCTCCTTCGGAGTGCCATACATTCTCCTGAGGGTCAAGCCTTTCTCCGCAGGAGACATTTCCTTTGCCTTGGACCACACGCTTGCAGCCTTCGGCTCAATCGTGGCAGGAGCGGCCTTGGCGCGACGAGTCAACTCAGCGACCAGACGCCGCAACAACCCAGCCGGGGCCTGAGTCAAAGCACTGAGATCTTTGATCTCCCAGTGAAGCACTTCATCTTCATCGAGATGGTGCTGCTGAAAAAACACCCGTGAAACCTGACAGTTCAAACTCAACCAATGCATCTCGCATCACTTGGCTCAGCTTGTAAGAACCACGTGCAAGGCTCTCACGTCCAGGTGTGGCAGGCGCCTGGCGCTCTCCTCCTGGTAAAAGGCTGGCTCCAGCCTTGCGCTTTTTCGGCTTGCTGGCCTCTTTCCAAGGTGCATCCAGCCGTATGATGCCTTCACAAATGAAAGCGCAATATAAATGCTCACAGGCTCCTGAACATGTGTCTGGCTTTCTTCCGAAAAAACACAAACAGTTCAATGACAACACATACACAAGTGTCACAGTTCGTCTCCTGCGATGGCCATGCGATCGCACAGCCAACATATGCCACCTACATGCGGCGCAGGTGACTTGTCTTCGCCACCGTCGCGACGCCAATACTGGCAGGCGCCAGGACCCACTTGCACGAGAACATGTTTGTCCAACCACTTGAGAAGCGAAGGCAGGTCTGTCAGCTGCAGGTCTTTCATGACATCACAGCCCTCTCTGGCCTCCTCAGCAAAGACAAGAGACCTGCACGCATGTAAGCATCTCTTGGACACAAGAGTCTCCGGCTTCTCCCGCAGCTCCCCGTTCCTCAACAGCTTCCAAAAACGTACGGAAATAAGAACTGGTTGGCTTTACTTCGAATCATCCCTACCACTGTCGAAACCCTACCAAGAAAACACTTCCAATCATATACTAAAGTATCCAAATCAACGTCTTCCTCATGCAATAGTACACTGTGCCATCTTCTGCCTTCAGCCTTTGGTACGCTTTGTGCTCCACGTACACTTGGGCTGCCGTACGCCCGAATTTCTGCAGCGGGCCTTGAATCAAGACACTGTCCCACCTCGTTCCTGGGACATCGTGCAAAAGCTCAGCGTGTCCTGTCAGAAAACGCACGGCCGATACCCACCAGTGGTCAAGCTGTCTGAACATAACCTTAAAAAAAATAAAAGCTACACATGTTCTTTCCAAATACATGCCCTCAAAAAGTACAGTCCTGCCATTGCTTCCGCACGTGTGCAGAGGAACCTTCTCAGAGTCGACATGAAGGTCGGGAAGGTCTGCCGGGATGAGTCATTTCTGCCCTTCAACCGCTGTTTGTGCCAGCTTTCTTGGCTCTGCGAACCGGAGTTGCTTCCGGGCTGGGTCCTGTCAGCCGCAATGCGCCAGGAAGCGTCCAAAGCTGAGCGGTTCTGATCAGTGTAGTACTTTACCAGATTTTGTGCACACTTCGACTCCCCACGCTCTTCAAGAAAGGCCAGCAAAGTGGACCACACATAGTCGAAAAGCGCATGTGGGAACGTCCGCGAAGCGAAGACAGCAGCTTCAATCAAAGTCAAGTGCTCCTCTTGTCGCAACCAAACGCGACAATTCTCGAAGATTCCCAGCCGCCACTTGTGGCAAATATCTGCATCAGCACCTGTGCTGCTTGTCTCTGAAGGAGAAGCGCGACCAACTCGGCTGGCCCCTATCAGATGACTAAAATCTGTGCAGCGCAGACTGTTGCCAAAGACTCGCAAACGAGCTCGCTCGAGACCCAAATGTGCATCCCCATGCACTTGCCGCACATTGGCTCTGATGTCCTCAGATAAAGGATGGACACGTTCTCTTCCCTAGATTTACAAGCAGTTCCCGGGTAAGCCGGCGGCGGAAGTTTCCTATAAAAAACCAAATGACCTCTAGGAGTTCCCGGCTCTTTCCAACATGCGTGTCCCTCAGCCAGACGCATGCGCTTCGGACTTTTGACCAACAAAGCGCCACTTTGGAGCTAGAGCTGTTGAAACTAGAGCTAACTGAGGCACAGATATTGAAACTACAACTAACTGGAGCTGGAGCTATTGAAACTAGAGCTAAATGGATGATGAGTGGTGTTTCATGAGTGGTGTGAGATGAGTGGTGTCTGATGACCGGTGTACGATGATGTTGACTGGTGTAAGCACGAAGTGTATGATGAGTGGTG